AGATACAGTCAGCCGAAGCATGAAATACCGACATGCAGACGCGTGCCTTTGTTTCTTTTGATTTGCAAAAAAGATGGTCACGCAGTGTCCTCTCCTTTCAGAATGTACTTCTTTGCATTTATGAACTAAAGATATTTTTTGTATATTGTTTGGCTTTTACTGGTTCGGCCCACTTGAACTTGACTGAGTGTCATGTGGCCTATGAACTAAAACGCGTCTGACACACCTGCTCTGAAAGCTCCCATGGTCAGGTGCAGCCTGAATAGGGAGGCATTAGGACCCAGAGTGCTCTGTGCTATTAGAACTAATGCCACTGCTGCCTTCAGTTTCTCTCCTGTCGGATAGACAGAGTGGCTGCCTGCCGGTTCTCTGCTCTTCCCTGTTTTTTCCCCTCTTTTTTTCTTTTACTCTGGATATGGAGTTCAGAGGTCCACCGACTACCAGCATCCAGCAGCAGATGAAGAACCTCCACAGATCACCTGGAGCTCCAGCTGAGTGTGCTTACCTGCAGCAGCTTTGGGAGTAGTTTCCTCCTGAGTTTCCTCCACACCAAAGTGCTGCCTATATTTTGCTGTTTATCTTCTTCTGTTGATTTTTTCCCTGTTGTTATTTCAGCCTGCTGTTCAGCAGTTGCCTCGGGCTCTGAAGTCTCCCTCCTCCCCCTTTCCTCTGTCACTCGCTCAGCTGTCAGTCCGTCCGTCCCTGTCAGGATATCCCCTTCCCTCTTTCTAGGGTTTCATAATACACTAGGACCTGAGCCAGGTCTGAGCTGTCATTCAGAGGCTGGGGTGGATTTCATTCTTCTGTTTGTCAGAAAACTGAAAGCTGACAAGTAATAAATGTAAACCAACACAGAGGAGTTGTGGAGATAATGGAAGGCCACAAGCTACACCGAACCTAACTTTGGATGAGCAGACAGACCCACATTTGATCCTTTTTGAGACTCTGGCAGTGACTGTTTTTTGAGTTTGGTGCATATGTGTGTTTTTTTGGATCTATTGGATTGCCAGTCATGGGGAATGCAGCAGGAAGCCTTGAGGTTTCTCAGGGAAAGGATGGCAAGCCATCGGGCCCGGGGTCCACGGGGCCCCCGAGACAAACAGCCGGGGCGAAACTCCCGATGCCACCTGAAGAAGAGCTGGAGGAACGCTTCAACGCTGTGCTGGTGAGTCGTGAATGCATGACTTCAGGCTGCAAGAGTGCCACAATAGAAAGAAACAAAGAATGTGGAATATGTTGAAAATGTGCACGTCCTCGGGACAAGCTTATCGTTGTGCCAGGTACACAAAGCTGCTGTGGAAAGATACATAAGAGCTCCTTTATGCTCAGGCTTAGCGCAGCTTTAGGCTCACTGCTCCCTGTTAGAGAAAGAATGATACGAGGAAGTCAGGTCTGTTTACAGCTTAGTAAAAGGTGCCTCTATTCTTTACTGCTCTATCTCAGTACTTATACTTACTTATAAATCACTCATGTATCAAAGTTTTACCAATGAGAGAAGATTAAGTTGCCAAAAATACCCCTGGATATTAGGAAAGAGACAATGTAGATTAGGTCATATGCTGCATCACCTTCGTTGCTTGATTTTATATTTAGTGAAATACAGGTGCCTTAAGTTGGTCCTCATTAGTCTTCTCAGAGTCATTACTTATTTATTCCTGTAGGGGGCGCTTATCAAATCAAGAGAATTAGTAAACAGAAGTGGGCGATTGTGGCTCAAGAGTTGGGAGTTCGCCTTGTAATC